TGACAACTTTTTCTTATATATTTTAAAATTACAATACCTTTCCAAACGTTATTAATTCTTTGATTTTTATTTATTTTCAATTATTTTTGCCAAATTCCTCAAAAATATTCGAAAATAAAGCGTTTTTTTATGTTAATTATACTTATGTAAACGACAAACCAACTAAAAATTTGGCACTTACGTAGACGAATGAATTAGAACAGGATGTACAGTATCAAGCATTGTATATTTCAGACCTGTTTCTGAGGAAAGTTCGAGGAACTGCATAGATAAAATACTTTAAATGTCTCTGCATCATTAATAAGAACAAATGCTGCATCACATGATACGATGTGCCTATATGTAAACAATGAATATTCAAATGTAAAACTATTGATGATTAGCAATGCCAGGAGCAAAAAGAATTTAATCATACTTTTATTTGTTTTCCGAATTACCGAAGCTATTACTGTGTGTAAATAGAACAATGTTTCGCGTGCTTTAGAAGTAGTTGTTATTATTAATTAGCATCAAACGCTTATTTTTTTGCCTCAATATCTTACATAACTATATGCTTATAGCTGTCCTAAAATCTGGTAAAATGCAGACATTCGTTCTCTTGTATGCCAAGAAAATTAACACAATTGTATAGTATTTTATGCTAATTAACTAATATTTGTGATTTGAAAATTTACTATATCTTCTCCTTTTCGTTAGCCCTCACCAGGATGCAAACCAGGCTGAAGAGTATTTAAGGTGAAGATTTTGAACCTTTTTCACGTGTCCTTCTTCGATAAAAATCCTGATGACTCTATAGCGGGGCTCAAACTTAAAAAAAAAAAAAAAAAAAAAAAAAAAAAAAAAAAAAAAAAAATTGGCGGATGATAATTTGCCCCGACTACAACTTGAGGTTTCCTTTTAACCAGTCACCCTTTCCAAGATTTATTGCACGCACATAAGTGTGGGAGAATTTAAGGTTTGTCTCCGTTTTAGCCGCATGACTTCGTGGTGTAACTGCAAAGCACGTCCATATAGCAATCGGAAAATCTGGAGTCCGAGCTCCAAGAAAGGCATTGCGCATTTTTCATGTTTCTTTTTTCGAGAAAAGTCCTGGTGGTCTTACAGTTATTCTCGGGATCGCTTTTTCATTTTAATCTCAGAAAAAATACCGCGACTACACGATTCGGAAGCGATTTATTTGCAAAATAAGATAGATGGGTGCGATCCACGCAAGAGCGGTTTTCTCAATTAATATTTTTTCTCTTAATACACTTAAGAAATGGGATGACAGAAAGTAGCTAAAGCAATCAGCTTAAAGAACAAAGGTGAAAACCGTAAAAAGCTCGTTCAAACGTAGTGTTTTAATAAGTAAGCTGTCAGACAATCATTTCAATAGGCTCTAAATTTAAATGTTTGACATAGTGCTATTGGGTGCTCTATCGATAACCGATGGGGCCGTTTTACGTTCGCTGACAATACAATAACTGTCCAGGGGCAGACGGATAATAACATTTAATCCGTCTTTAAGAATATATTAAGTTCACTATCAGTGTCACATTATGACAAAGGCATTCAGTTAACTGAATTTAAAACAAAGGCACTACCTACATATTTATTTTTCAAAATGAAGTCTGTTTTAAGAATTTCGAAAAATTTTGATCAGGCGCTACTAAAAGTTCATTATATGCTGCCGGATCAAAATGCATATCCACTGCAGGTTTCTCGCTAAAATATTTTGGAAGGGACAAAACGATTTAAAATAAAATATGCATTTGTTACCAGTTTTATCAAAAGACATTTTTTAGACTTCCAAATACATATTTTTTTTCCTTTACAGCAACTGTAAAAGTATTTATTCTACTAAAAGAACGCTTAATTTTTGCATAAAAATATTTTGACAATGAAGAGTTAATGCAGAATATATTCGATGAAATAATGTTGAATAATTGTAACAGATGAAAAAAGTCAGCTGCTGGATTAAGGTATTTCTCGTCTTAAAATAAATTACGTGTTTTTTACAAATGTATATAAAACGATATCTGCCTGTACCTAAGTCTACCTAATTCTGTACTGAATGAGAATTAATGCATAACTGCAGCAACAGAATGTGCGATTTCGATTGAACAATATTTTCGATTAACAATATTTCGATTTAACAATATTTCGATATCAACAATATTTCGATTGAACAATATGTATATGAAGCAGAAGCACCTGGATTCAAACTTGCACTGCTTCCTTACTATAACGAACAAGACGCCGCCTAACCGGTATAGTGGTTAGCATCGCTGAGTGAAGGACCCGGGTTCCAATCCCGGAAAAGGCATGGGTATTTGTAAATGTATAGTGTCTGTGCGGCATAACGGTACTCTAAATATGTGGCGAATCGGAAGTCCTCTCGTGTGGTTTGGTGGAAGGGGAGAGGGATGGAAGACCCTCGGACCCTTCCCACCAGGGGGGCTCTCCATCAAAACTGGGGGCAAAACTGAGCTAAATCGCACTGTCACCTGAAAGAGGCTCAAGCAGGCGTATTCTAACGCTGCTTGCCACGAGGAATTTCGTGGGCTTGGGCTGACTACGTCAGACAAGTGAGCCATAACTAACAACAACAGCGAACAAGACATTACAAACATTTAAAGGTAGTTTTAGCCTACTGACGTAAATAGCGGGTTATTTTGTACACTCTGTGATGAAAAAATTAACTGTGCATTTTATAAAAGTCGTTTTTTTAATCAAAAGAACTTGATAATAATAAAGGAGTACAATTTCTTCAAGAATATTTTTCATTAGAATATACACTCATGTCCATAAATTAAGGATAATTCGGAGTCACGCGGTTATCGACTCTAAAAGAATATATCACCTGTAAAAATCACTACCACATCTTCAAGAATCATATGCAAATTTCAAGAAGTAACCAGATGACCCGATGGTCGCACAATGACGAGAGTGTAAGAGAGTGATACATAAGGAATACAGCAAAGAAGTAAAATGTTAACCGAATAGGACGAATAACCGAAATCGGCGTCGTATGTATTGGTATTTGATGATTTTTTTTAGGGTAGAATTATCGGTGTCTGGAAGTGGGCGTACCCAAGGAAGTATCAGACGAACTTGAATTGCCAGAGGAATCTCCAAGCTTGGGCAATGTTCAAAGCTGATGGTCAGGTGAGAGAGTACAGCACAGATGCCCCAGAGTTAAAACGCGAACGAGGACTGGTATTAGCAGTACTGAAAAAAGAAACGGCGGAGCCAGCCTCGACCTGTCTCGGAGCTCTTAAGCCACTGGTACGCCAATTTCAAAGCAGACCGTGTACAGGTTAGGCAGATTGGTTATGCTCGTAGACCTGTCAGATGCGTTCCATTACTGCAACTCACTGTCGCTGCGTTAGCTGGAGTGGAGAGATTGCTTTGGACACGCAACAGTGGGCTTGTGGGATGTTTTCGCGAGTAGGGTTAGTTTGCAGTCTGATTTCGCCGGATTTCATATGGAGAGAAGTAGAGGTACCGTACCCCAGAAAACATCATGAACACACAGTACGGGGTGAAGGAGTGCTCGGTTGGGGTGAATTTCTGGTCCCAGAACTGACTGCATGTTCAATTGGAAACAGGACAAGCCAAATCTATCAGGACGTCATTCTGGACAACATGTTTGTTTTTCGGGGCGCCATGGGCCAACAATTTGGTGTGGATGACAACGCCGTCCTCACCGTGCAACACGTAACGATGCTTCATCGGAGGGGATATCACCCGATGGACTGGACAGCATTCTCCCGGACAAGAAACCAGTAGAGCACGTGCGGGACATGCTTGGCCGAGAGTTGCAGCCCGTCAACCTTCTCCTAATGTCTACCGGAACTTCGGAGGGCATTGCTTTTTGAGTATAATACCCCAAGATCAGATCGATATGATATTCAGAATGCCTAGCGTTGACGGACTGTATGCATTTGGGAGACTACAATGTATTAACAATCTACCAACATGTAATATGGTTTTTTGTAATAGGTTTTTTTTTTTGTAATGCTCCAGGAGAGAAAAATCGCTAAATGTTTTAATAATATCAAACAATAGCATCTTTTTTGTCTTACCTTTTGTTTAATAAATAAGTTTTACAATAAGTCAAATTTGTTTCGCTTCAAACTCTTCCTGTGCCAGATTTTGCATTATCCTTAATTTATGGACATGAGTGTAAAATGATGAAGATACTCAAAAATCATGATTATTCTAAAAGATTTTACTTATCGAACAGCTGTCTTTTATTTAAGAACATTCTTCATTTCCTACATCCATTAATTGAACTGACGCACGATTCAGCAATATTACCTAAGTCGTGCAACAGTTCCATTTGAAATAAAAAGTAATGTGGGTCAAATTTGTATTATGCTTAAGATTGCCAAAGTTGCTCCGTCCTAAACAAGTATCACAAAAAAAAAAAAAAAAAAAAAAAAAAATCTGGCCACTCTATATAATTAATAGCTTCTCTTTTTTTCAAATACACTACACAAATAAATTTTATCAACTCTCAGAAAACCAATAATTAAACCGTAATTTAATGTGATTTAATTCGTGAACCGTAATTAAATTCGATTAAGATTTTTACTGTTTAACCATCAATTAAAAGCAACAAACAGTTTACCACGAACTAAGCGGTTACAGAACATCTGTCTCTTCGTTTGTCTGACAAGTGTAGGGGGTTTAATGTTTCAGCATTAGATAAAATTGTTTTAAGAATAAGTTTCTCATAACAATTTCCTTTTTTAGACATTATGTCGCAAGATATGCTCTGCTTTAATTTCATAGCACGTAGGAAATACAGACCGCTTGACATGTTTAGTTCCATACTCCTCGAAAAAAATTATAAAAAAGAAATAAAATCGTTATCTTGAAAAGGGTTACAAGAGGACCAAGGGCGCATCTTTTCACCCTCTCCACACTCCCTAGCCAAGTTAACCCTCAGAACAACCCTAGAGACTTAAGATGAAAATATATTGCTGAACGAGAAATGTTGAAAAACAACTTACCTCACTGTAACCTCCTTGCAGCAGAGGCCGCAGTAGTTTTTTTCTTCCCCCTTCGACAGGCACGTTCACTTCTTTTCCAGTAACTGAAAAAAAAAAAAAAAAAAAAAAAAAGAATAAAAATTTTAAAGAATTGTTTACGATAAATTATGCAGAATGTGAAATCGGCAACAGCACGTTGAGAAATCGGTGAGGTCTGTTTTACTTTTTTGTCCTTTGTCAGGCACACATGAGCAAATTCCCAAAACGTGAGAGAATACGCCGTTTTATAATTAGATGCGCGGGTTGACACTTGTGACAAATAAAGAAGTTAGGATTTCAGTAACCAGATAATTTTCACTAAGTCTGATACTAGTTTGAATTACATTTATTTAATCACACACACACACACACACACAGAATATATGTATAATTCGGAATACGGGAGAAAAGAAATTTAAAGTCCCTTCATTGTACACTAACTGATGCTACATAAACATAAATAAAAAAGTTGGAAAATATTACCAAAATAGTTAAATTTTTTATAACCCTTATGAAAAGCAAGCCTAGATGACAAAACCAAAATAAAACCAAAATAGAAACAATAAAAAAAATCTGAAAGGTTTCTGATTTTAAATTACGTCCAAAGGGACTTTTTTTAATATTTTGTGTGTTACTTTTATTTATTAAATATCACGTTCTTTGCACTTAAACCATAAAATTCAGTTCAAGAGCAATATCGCAAAATAATTTTAAACTGAGCACATCTTTAGAATTTCCGATACACAGTCTCACTCGCTGGAGATAAAAATGTTTTTTCTGTATAACGAAGCCACTGCTCGCTTTGAAATCCTTGAATTTGTTAATCAGAAATTAGTTTTAGTTTTACAAAATATGAATTCGATAATAAAACAAATTTCAAATTCCAAATTAGGGATTCCAGATGCCCATATTCGGTGGAGGATTACGTTATTCAAAATTCGATGGCTTTAGGTATCGTTGTTTTATCACAATGCGAGAAACATACAAACATTTATACAAATTCTTCATTATTTAATTTGTTCAAATATAATACAGGTCTGTAATATTTGGTGGCGACAGTTTGAAAAACGAACCAACCTAATGTGCTAAAACGAAATTAATAGTCCTTCTGGGCTAACAAACATATGACAGTTGAAAACTTGGAAATATGTCAAGTAACTGAACTTTTCTACAAATATAACTCTTCTCTGAAACAAAGCCACTGGCGTGGCTTTGTTAAAACAAACGTATTATGACATGTAAATGTTGCGTTAGTTACAGTTTTTTAGATTAATTGATGTTTGAAATTTTGTAACTGAAGACGATGTAAATTACATAAGAAGTCTAGAAGATCATGTTTTACCAAAAGATATCGTTTTGTACGCTCATTATTTGTTTAAGCGGAAGAAACCAATTATCATATAGTATGTTTTAAGCAAATACTTTGGACACTTGTATTTGTTCCGATATTAGCAGCAGGAAGCGACTGTGGAATTTTTTCATTTGTACAATGTGAATTTTTTTAATTTCCACAGTGGATATTACATTTATTACATGGTTTATCTTTACGCTTATATACATTTCAGTAATAGCTGGTAACGGCAAATGAAATCTGCAAATATTTGTGCACAAACATGTTACAGAATTCCAGCATTTTATATCAAACTGCGTTTAGTTCATGGTAATAAATAAATAAATAAATAGGCCCTTATGTGCATATATTTTATGAATCTACTCAGGTTTTCTTGAAATTTACAGAACATGTAATCTATCCATTGTTTTTTTTTTTTCCAAATAAATAAATAATAAAATGAAAGACGCCAAACCGCACAGTTCAAATCCATGTATTTCAAAAGTCAATTGTATATCATTTAGATAGTTATAATACAATGAAATGAGCATAAAAATACACTGCTGGCCATCCAAAATGCAACACGAAGAAGGATAGCATATACCAAGCCAAATTTATTTCAGAGATTACCCATAGAACCAATGTTGACTGATTTAAAATGCAGCCTTCTCTGAGGTGAGGAAAAGGAAGAAATCAGTGTAATAATGAGTGTTGTAATTAATCCATGTAATGAATATGAGTAACGAATAATATGTAATGAAATATGTATGTAGTATGTAATGAATAATGAGTGTTGCCTCCATGTTTTTCAATAACGGCTAACGTTTTTCAATAACGAGGCACTGAGTGAAAGAGATTTGGGATGAGTTGATGGAAAATAGCAGCCGTTGTTGCCTCTACATGTAGCCAAAGTTGATCTGGTGTACCCACGAGTGTGGCATGCCCAGCTAGGGGTTCTCCAATCATTGACCAGACATGTTCGATGTAACATGCAGTACGGCTTCCACCATGCTACATGTTACACCATACTGAGTATTGCGTGCAACGTGTGATCACGCACTGTCCTGTTGAAATGTGGGCGTCAGCAAGCTCTGAAGGTAAGGAAGGGGAAAATGTTGCAAAAACCTCAAAGATATAGCGTTAGCTGGTTAAGAGTGCCGATAATACATATTAGGATGTAACAGACAGGAATCCAATACAGCCACACACCGTACATCGGAGGCAGAACCAGTATGACGATGCATAACTACAAGAGCGAGCAGTCTCTCTCCAAGGTGTCTCCAAACTGTAATCGACCATCGTTGAATTGCAGTCAGAAGCGTGATTCGTCCGAAAACACAATGGCATGCCATTCGGATGCTCACCTCCGCCGTTCATGCAAACGGTTGTGCTTTAAAGCTAAAGGTAAGCGAAGCAATTGAAGCCTAGCGGGCAGTCCATTGTACTGTAAACGATATCGCACTGCATACATCGATTGTTGTGTTACATACTGCATTCTTTGTGATATGGTTGCGGATGTGGTAGTGCGCTCCATTAGTGCCATGTGCACAAGATGCCTGTCTTTCCGTGCAGCTGCGCGACGAGGTGATTGCAATTGCTCATGTCCATCAGTCGTTCCCTCCTTTGCATCTACCGATTCTATATTCGCGTGACTAATGCTTGGCTACGTTCAACACGATGACTGATTTCCTGGTAGGCTAATCCACAATCTCGTATGCAAGGATTCTACCTTAGTCGAACTTAGAAACTTGCTCGAATGATGCTCGTGTTTTCTACAAGAATGCTGAAGCTGCACACATACAAAATCTCACGACAAAACGATTCGCATCATTCAAAACAGATCGTGAATCGCGGTGGTGCACAAGCATTTAGCTACCGTGGGCTTTAACCTGTCTTTGGATTTGCTTCTTTAAGATGCTCTGCCGTTAAACGGAGGAGAAATGGGTTCAAAACGACCAGTATTGAGTTATGACTAATTTAAGGCTTCCAAGTTCCAATTTATTGCGGCGATTAGCATGCGCTTTGCATGCTTTCTTTCTTTATATTCCTTCTATGAGCGCTTCAGCGGTATTCAGTGCTTCAGAGTCGGTCCGCAGGACAGGGCAGCAGAGAGGAGGGGCGTGACCAATAGTTACGTGGATGTAGGAAGACATATCGTGTTGGTTGAGAGGTTCCAAGGCGATGGTCTGCAAAAATACATAATTTCTTGGCAAAAATACTGTAAGAAGTAAACAAAGTTTCTTAATGATAATAGTAGAATATGTCATCGAATCTATAAACTTGGTCTCATGACAGAGATTTCTGTAGGGTACGTAAGATAAATCAGGAAATGAGCAGGTGTGTAGTCACGTTATATGCATGCCCATCAAGATGAACATGAGGTGCAATATTTGATAGATATACAAAATGAAAATACATAAGCTGGATACACTACAAAATGCAATACAATGCAGCAGAAAATGATCAATATGATACTGTAAAATCGAAGAAACTATAAACATAGTTTGATTTAGGGCAATCTTATTTTCCTTTTATATACTGATTGTAAGCAGCGCTGCAGTCGCTCATGACGTGCGCGTGACCTAAAATCGTAATCATTTGCATATTCCATCGCGGTACACACATGATGCAAGTTTCATGCTGTTTGGATGTTTCCTTCGTGGTACTGCATTTTGGAAGATCAGCAGTTTAGTTTGAGGACAAAAATAGCATGACTTTCTTCTTCATGAAGTTTCCATAACTCTCGCAATCCAGATAACTGTATAAACTTTTTTTATAAACGAAACTAGTTTCATTTCTATGTTTGTGAATTCAACTTGTTTTATCTAGTTGTTTTATTTCACAAGATAAAACAATGATACTCGTGAGATAAAGCAAGAGATAAACAATATTTATTTCATAATAATTATTTTTATAATTTATTATATAATAAATAAATAATATACATTTACATGAAAACTTTTCGACTCAACAACTTCTACTGTTTTACAATTCGAATGTTTTAATTTTAATGTTTTCTAAAATGTATCTGTGGCTAGCATAGGTTAATAAAGATATATTTTCTAAAATGAAATATATTTAAGAATAGCGTATGCTACTAATATAATAGAATTCAACTGATAAAGGCTATACATATAGTATATATGCTTATTTCTTACGAGGACTTAAAATTTATTTGAAGTTATTAAACTAAGGCAACACGTTTGAATTTTTGTTCATACTTTTTAAAATAATAACATTATCGTCTGCTTTATACAGCAGTGAGTGTTAAAACGTTTAGAAAGAAACGACAGTCATAAACATGAATTTTTTATCACCACATACGCGTTTGAAATTAGCTTTAAATAAAAGCAAAATAAAAAATTAATTAATTAATAAAAAATACTACTATGTCTAGGTTTATAATAAATTAACGTTATTCAGAATTATATCTAATGATACGATAATACTCTTTACATTTGAAGGAAAAAGGTAAACACTTTTAAAAAGAAAAGTGTCTTTAATAATTATCCTTCTTCCCTTTACGTTTCTATTGATGTAACACACGTTTGATTCTTTGTTTTCAAAGTATCTTTCAGTTCAAGTACGTTTCAAAAAATGGCAGAAAAGTAAATTGAAAACTAACACTAAACTGGGCAAAAACTGCATTCGTTAGCTAAGAATAACAGTAAACTGAAATTCATGTTTAATACTTATTCGATTAAAAGTTCAGTAGCAAATAATAATGCAATAGCA